ACAATATTAATTTTATAGAAAAAGAGAGAGAGAGAGAGAGAGAGAGAGAGAGAGAGAGAGAGAGAGAGAGAGAGAGTAAACTGTAAAATGAGGTAAAATGTTCTCGCTATTCTTCAATATTTTATTTCATTTATTAGTATGGCAAATAATTAATTTGGGATTTCCACATGAGCTTTATGTATTTTACATTATACATTTAAATATATTTATTAGTCATTCTTATTAAATGCCATCAAAAGATTACAGAAAGGTCATGCTCAACTCTACGTGTAAAAATTACATATTTGAACGTATTACTCATTTATACAAATTTTGTTTTATTTTCTTTATATATTGAAATAAGATTTATCATGTTAACGAAGTGAATATAAATGTTATAAATGTTGCTTAAATATAAATGCAATATAAATGTTGCTTACAATAGTTGTTGCAATTATATTTGAAAGTGAAGCGATGGTTATTATTAAGACATTAATTTTGCATTAAACTTATTTAATTAAACCAAAAGTGTGAAACAATTATTTTAATTGGACTCTGTTGTGTATTCTATTAGCACCTTCATTACATTAATCAGTCAAATTTTTAACAAAACAATCGAATTTTTTAATTAAGTGTTACTTATAACATCGGTTTTATCGTATTTCAGATAATCACGGAAACTTATGTAATATTGGAGAAAATGATTGATCACTGATTAAATAAAATTCTTATTTATCTTACGTTTGTCTTCATACATTTGACATTCAAGCCTTTGAAAGTATAAGATACGTAATTCACTGTACAGGAAGCAAGTAATTGAACTAGTAAATTTATATCTATTCATGTATAGGGTAACGTAAATACATACGTTCATTTCCTTAATAATTTTTTTAAATACTTTCATTACGTGCACGCTATTACTATCTGGGGATAAAATAATTAAGTTTTTTATGTTTAAATACAATACCATTAAATACAATTCTATTAAAAACATAAATAATTTATATGCTGAATAAAAATGTTATGAGACTGCTAATAATAATTTTTTATGCATAAATAAATTGATGTGATTTTAATTATACTCTAATTCATAAATAGAAAGAGAAACATTTCAGATGCATATGCCGTGCACTGATATTAGGCATTGCATTATTATACGTTGCTTCGAAATGGTTATTATATAATATGTTACAATTATTTGCTCGAAATAACGAAGTATCAAATAAATGCATTTATATTTTATGAGATAACTGCACATGGGAATAGGCATGCAAAAATGCATTATTATACAAAGTTAGCGATAAAGCTAAAGGTAATTATTTTTTCCACTGAATGTATTCACTACCATAGTTGCATAGACAAAACGTATATTAAATTATTTTCGATGTTTTAAAGTGCATTTACGCGACCTTGAAGTTAATCGAAATAGCTCAAAATAATTAGGATTTAATCTTTATCAAAAAATTGGCGAAACTCTGTCATTTTTTTTTTGGAGATAATTAACACAATTAAGGACGTTTTATTGAATTCTATATTATGTTAAGATTACTATTATTCATACGGAAAAATTCAAGGAAACGCTCTTCTTTTAAGCTCTTAAATCGCAAATTCGTTCCATATACGAAGAACATTTTTATTTATATTATTTAAAACAAGCCATTTGACAGCAATCAGTTTTGAAGACCTTGCACTGGACGCGTAATATGGAAGTGTCTTAGCATTTGACCTGAATAAAGATCAAATACTTTGTGTTATTTTCTACGTGACATTGACGATTAAAGAAGCATGCATATACGAGGAATTTAAAATGCTGTCTTTCCCCGTAAAAATATGGAATACACTAACGGCTTATTTCATTTAAAAATTAAAACAGTCTTTATATGCCTTAAGTTTTTAAGTAACCATTTCAATAATATATTATTACGCATTTTGTAGTAAGTTGATGTATCGCTTATCATGCGCAAATAAGTATAAGTTAAATAAATTAGACAGCCATGTTTGTACTAGGACTAAAAAGAAAACTCGATGCATCATTGGCGATAGAATAGTCATAGATTTGATGGGAGGCCATTCATCTCGAGGCAAAAATTGTATCAAATAATCTGCAGTTGGTTTGGAAGACTACACGATTTCTGTAAAGCCATCGTTAAAAGTGCGTTGACAACAATAAAGGATACATTATCGATAAGTAATTTACAGTGTATTCAATGTCGATATTCACACGAACTGAAACTGGAGATCTAGTTGCAACTTTTGACAAACGTTCTCAATTAATAAATTGATAAAATGTCGATACTCGTATCTGCGTAATCTGGCTTTGGGGTGTTGAAAATGCCTGTTTTAAAAGTAGTTTAGGGACGCATATTCTTCGAAGCTATTGTGCAATCATTCTACTCATGACACATGTATAATAAATCTATTATGATCGGACACCTGTTCATGCAATTTTTAACGTTAGTAAAGTCGAGTAAGAAAACGTAGCGATATTTAAATATATTTTTGAATTTTTTTCCACAAGCTCATAATTCTCGTGGCTTGCTGCTGAAGTTTGGGTTTGTTTTTTTTTCTTTTTAATTCTTATTAATATCTGAATTATATATTATTGTTAAGGCGTATAAATTCTTATAACGTCTGATTATCACCAACGTAATTGCTAACTAGATTTTCGTTACATTGAATGAAAGTATGTTCATTAATGTAATAAATAATATTAATATTTCATATTTTATAATTGGTGTTCAATGTAGGCTGTCTGTCAAAGGAAAAAATATTGCTCTGAATTCGTTGCTTCTGGCTATTTTTAATCATATAATCACGTTGTTTTTACAAATTTTTAAAAATAGATCGTAAAAATATATTGTCAACCTTAATACAATTGATTATTTTTCCATAACTTGAATGAAACTCAGCATTATTTTTTATCGTTTTAAAATTTTAAATTTCGAATGATAGGTTTGAAAATCCACTGACATAAAGAATTTAATCTGTTTTTTAAAACAACAATAATAAATCATTCGCTGTAAATTTAATGGAAAATGAATTTCAATATATTAAAATTTTATGCTGATACCTGATAAGGCATGTCGATAGCGTAATTATAAAAAAAAAATATATATATATATTTATATATTGAATAGATTTATATATTGAAAATGATGTTTGAGTTTGGTCATGTGTGGCCAAGGAGCAAAATTTTTTTAAACTCTTCCTCGTAAATAAATCGAATGTCCATTTGTTGTATTATTATTAATTACTTATTTCAGGCATTAAATTATTTATGCTCCCTAAATCTCGTCGTGTAACCTTAAGTCACAATATCTGGCATAAATGTATATAATCGGTTTAGAAGGCTTAAAATTTGCTTTTCATAAAGTTTAACCATCGTAAATATCTTTTATACGTTTCATTCTAAAGTCTATGATAATTTCACAATTAAATTACACTTCGTTAGTCGTACAATTTTACGACTATTGTTACAACCGTTATAGTTACTTCCAACTATATTTAACCAAAGATAACGATTCGTAAAGACTATCTATTATTGTTATAAATGGTACAGGGTATAGTGGCAAACTAAATCTGTCTCGCTCTCTCCACTTCCTTCTTCTGCGCACTCCTGCGAGCCATTTCCTCTAGCAATGAGATATAATTAGCAGTAAATTTTCACGGCTTTTCGCGCTCGCGTTCCTGCACGCCCGTGTTTATCTATAAAGTGCTGCGCGAGCCTATTGAACATTGCCGCGCATAATGGCCGTGTCTGTAACGGCTCTTTCTTTATCACGCCAAATTTGCACCTTAGCAGGCTTTCTCTCCCTCCACATGTCCGTTTCCATTCAACTTTACGAGGCTTTGTTGGTATAGTTAATTTTATCATTTATGCGCTACAACATGCGTCTATTCGCGTTTTTCTTCCATTGGCCAGTTAAAAAATCGGAAAAACGAAGAAAATGTGCGCACAAGACAGCGCAACGCCGTATTAACGGCTTATTCAACCGAACGTTAACAAACTGACTTATCGATGCTTTTATCGTATGACTCTACACATAGACAGCTATATTTTCTACGCTAGGGAGGGCGATGAGTAGTAGGAGTAGGAGTAGGAGCTAGAGGGAGGGGGGTAGGGGTAGAGAGTGTTTAATAGAGCACGAAACCACACTTATGAAATACCTTATAACTACAGGCATGCATTATTAATAATAATAGGGGGATCGTAACGTTTTTTAATAAACTTTTAATGTCCACAGTTGGTCGCATGATTTTGAAAGTCGGTACGACGTCGATGTAGCGGCGTGCACGGCCCTCGCTCGTTAAATTTCACGTTAGCAATAGGTCCCGAGCGACTTCAATCATCGAATCAATACACGTGTCCAATTTATTTATTCGCGCACGTAAAACTCTATTACTGTCTTAAGTTTCGACTAGAGAATAATGTTGCCGAGCCGAACGGTGCCGACTCAGCGTTGACGTCGTCATCGCCGTCGGCTGCGATTTCGGAGCACTCGGTCTCTTGATCGATTGCCAAAGCGCTTAAATTATCTGGACTACTTTGACAGCGCAGACGTGCCAAACGGAATGACATTAATCCATTAGGAATCGGCCCGATCCTTGTCGATAGTCTCTCTCACTTGTCCACTCGGACAACACGACATCTGTATAAACACGCGTACACTCGCGAATTAGCGCCCGTTAAGAGCAGGCCGGCTGAATCCCTGGCAAATAGGGCGGCCAGGGTGAAAGGGTAGATATGGGTGGACTGTATCAAGTGGCAGAGGCAGAGAGGGGACTACCATATAAAGAAAAGCATTAAAAGAGTGACGTTTGTCAACGGAGAATAATGCGCTCTCTGCTGGACTTTATTCCGTCTAGAGATTTTATCGCTCGTGTACTTGACGCACGCATCATAAACCTCGCTCCATTTCAAAGGTTCTCTGGCTGTTTGAGCGCGGCCGGTTTATAGTAGCTCCTTTCGGTGCTTTGCGGCACGGCTCTTTCTTCCTCCCTGACGACGGCGCTGGTGGTGGCAGTGACGGCGAAGGCGGTAGTAGCAGCGGCCCGTTAAGAGGGACGAGGCACAGCGTCGCTCTCGAGCCGCGACTTTCGCGAGCAATTTCGTAAAGAAGTACTTTTTCAGGGCATCGCGCTGCCTCGTATAACGCCATTCTCTTCGATTAAAACCGAACACGGGTCACGTACGAGCAAGACTCTCCTTCTCCTCCACTACCTCCTTTTCCTCCACCACCTCATCCGATGCCACCCCTCCCACCTCTAACAAACAGTGCACTACGGGGCTGCCTATATTTAAAAAAAAAACAAAAAAAAAACAAAAAAAAAAAACAAGAGATGCTCGCACTGCTTATCGAGTCTATTGCGATGAAAATATTAGGCACGCATATTGCATCATCCGAGATTTGTGATTCCAGCTGCATTCGACCTTGCCAAGCAATCGACCCGTAAATTCGTCGTATACTAGTTTACTAAATCTTGAACTGCGCGCTCGCGCGTTTCTATCAATTACGCAATTTATGTAGGCGAGCATGCCAACTACGCACCCTCGATGACACAAAGGTTAAATCGCGTTTGACTTTGCGTATTAATTGACCTCGAGATCCTTATACCATAATATTTAATCTCGCCATTTCTTTTCTGTTTCAGCTGGATGCCAAGAACAGTCCACTGGCGCTATTGGTCCAGACATGCAGTCAAATAGGCGTCGATCCACCGTCTAACAAGTCGCTACTTTCGGCTCACGACAAGTCCAATAAGTTATCGAAATCGTCATCGGAGTTGGTCGGACGAGATAAGAGCTCACCATCGACACACGCGAACTCTACCTCGTCTGCCTCCTCTAATCTATCCACCTCCTCCTCCTCCGAAAGCACAAAGTCCAGCAGCTTCAAGCCCTACGAATCGTGCATCGTCCGGGACAAAGCCTCCAGTCCTGAGCAGCAACAGCAACAGCAGCATCAACAGCAGCATCAACAGCAACAGCAACGCGTTCCTTCCGTGCACTCGACCTCGGGAAGCAATTCACGCTCGAGGACACCGGCCAACGGTGGTGGCAAGCGCTGCTCAAGCAACCAGAGCGCATCCTCGGGTGGTGGCCGGACGATGAGTCCCCAAGGCCGAAAAAGTATAACCCCGAGTAACGACACTACGAGAGAGTCGCCGAGCTCCCGGAATACTATCAACGAAATGGCTTCCTCTTCGAGATCGGGCTCGGCTAACAGTCCCTCGCTTCTCCAGTCCTCCAAGCCGGCCTACAGTCCAGCTCAAGGTGTCCTCTCTTCCCAAGATTTGTCCCTCGGTGGCTACAAGCCCTCCGCGATGAGCTTGATCTCGTCGACTTCCGCCTCGGCGGGCGCGACCACGACAACGACGCCCTCCGCCGCCTACGGCCTCCCCTATCCGCCTCAGCTTACGCCTATGGACGCGATGACCGCGAGCTCGCTAATGTCCCAACATCACGCTGCGGCGGCCCTGAAAAATGGCCTCGCCGGCCACCCGTACCTGAGCTACGCACGCATGAAGACACCCTCCGGGGCGGACACCTTGGTGCCCGTCTGCCGGGATCCTTACTGTACCGGCTGTCAACTGAACAGTCATTTGTTGGCCGCGACATCGCAGGCCTCAGCCGCGAACACCGGAAAAATCGCAACGAGCCAGGCGAGCAGCTCCTGCCCCGCGGGATGCGCCCAGTGCGACCACAAGCCATCGTCCTCGGCCTCGACCTCGGCCTCGGCCGCTGCCGCCGCCGCCGCTGCAGCTGCCGCCGCAGCCGCTGCCGCCTCCTCGCCCTACGCGGCATACGCGCACGCGCAACTCGTAGCTCTGGCCGCCGCCTCCCAGATGCCCTACGTTTGCAACTGGATAGCCAGCGATGCGGCCTTCTGTGGCAAGAGGTTCGCAAGCTCGGACGAGCTCCTTCAGCACTTCAGGAGCCATACGGCCGGACATCAGTCCGCCGCGGACTCGAACGCAGCCGCCGCGGCTGCGACTACTGCTGCCGCCCTCTCGTTACTCACACCACCGGGCCTCGGACCCGGGCATCCGCTCCTCTCAAGGACCTACCCTACACCGCCGCTCAGTCCTCTCGCAACCGCGAGATATCATCCCTACGGGAAGCCCTATGGGGCACCTACTCTCTCCTCTCTGGGGCTACCGCTTCCACCGCCCCATCATCCGCACCCCGCAGCCGCGGGTCTACCCCCGTACTTTTCACCGTACTCGCTGTATGCTGGCTCGAGATTGGGCGCCGCCTCGGGCATGCATCCCTAAGATGATGCGCGGTTCCTAAGCGAAATCATGGATAAGACAGGCAGAGATAGAGAGAGAGAGAGAGAGAGAGATAGAGATAGAGATAGAGATAGAGATAGAGAGAGAGAGAGAGAGAGAGAGCAGTGCGATAGCCCAATCTCACAGCTTCTGCGTCTAATTTTTGCAAATGTTTTTCCGACTTATTCATAGACATATTGAGTACTTCCTCGAATGCCAATACTGCTTCCACGCCCGCATTCAGCATTGGAAATCCGAATCATATAAATGACGTTCTACATGAGAAAGTATATTTTATTTAGCGCCTAATTATATTACAAGTTCCGATTTTCTACGAAACAGCGTCCATGTTCTGTGCAGTTGCCGAAATCGGTAATCGGTACTTATACTTTGTGAGAGTTTAAATTGTTGGTTGTTTATATTTTTAAACGCGCACGACTGGCTTTCAATATTTACTCTCGATATCGATACGATATAGCAAACTTTTGAAAATTGCATGAATTCAATCGGTTGATAATTTATTATATCTACATCTCTTCCGTTTTTTAATCAATCCATCATTTTTCAATTACGACGCAATCAATTATTTTTCAAGACTAATTATCTTATTGTTAAATGTATCGAAATTGGGAGCAAGAAAAAGAAAAAGAAAATAAAATAAAATAAAAGAAAAGCTTAACATTGAAAAATCACGGTTTTACGCACAATTACGATTTAATTAAATAAAATCATCAAACTCTCGTACTACATTTATAATTTGATCATATTTAACATTACAAAATTATTATACGAAAAAAGTATATTTATTTTATTAAAAACTTAGACGAATTTACTTAGAACTGTGATCGCACTTGGCTTCATATCTTAATTAAATTCCAGCCACACGTGTTCAATTTCAATTCGTATGAATTATATTCCCTTATCTGTTTAAGAGAAAATCAAACTGTGTTTTATGATTCGAACATGACAATCCTAAAGATAACCCTTTTAAAAATTTATTTTCATTTTTTTTCTTCCTCCCTCCCCTCTAAACATAATAACTATTCATTCATGACCATCAAAGCAGAGTTTCATTTCTTATTACTGAATCTTTTAATTAACCGATAAAATACGTATTATTGTTTTAAACATGCAGCAATTGAAACTCATTTAAATCATGTAATTAATGCATAGCATAAGCTTTAAAAATGTAGATAAATTATCGCTATATAAAATTAACGTGCTAATTTGTTTAGGAAAAAAAATGTTCGATTAAGTTTAATCATTTTATTTATTCGGCACTAAATATTTGGTTAAAAACTGTATCTAATCTTGAATAAAGCATTAGAACTTCTTAAAGTTAGCCCGCGAAACATAGATCTTATAAACCGAGGTATAACTTCGCACTTTGGAAGGGATTGGTACCGATGAAGCCAATCAAACCGCATTATTGCGGATGTTTGACTGTGATTCTTTAGTTGTGACTTTCTGAACCCTCAATTACGCTGAGACTGGAAGGAAATAAAAGGAGCACCGTGCAAAAGTAAGGCACTGCAAACTTGTAGGGAGATGTGAATTATTTGTTTTTCGGATAATGACTGTCTGCGGGGTGTCATGATTGTTAACTTTTTTTTTTCATTTTATTCATTAATAATTTAGAAATCAAATATATAAATATCATATAGAAAACAATAATCTTTTATATTGTTAGTTTCTATTTATCAATATGGAAATGACAATTGTTCATCCTTATTCAGATTTCGTACTTTACGGGCTGATTTATGCTTAACGAACGATAAAATCAATTACCTTGAGATCTTGTTTCTCCAATATTCTTATTTCACGTTTCGGTGTAAAATCCAATATACTTATCTTTATCACAAATGTCCGATTCACTAAGATTTACATTTAAAAAATGAGAAATACAAAAAAAGAAATGGAAAAACAGTTTGTCTTAAAAGGTATATGTAGTATAATATACCTCATTATTGTTTTTCTCGATATTATCGTATTGAATTTTACATCCGTGTATAATCGACGGTACGAAAATTAGTAATAATCAACTCTGAGAATCGACGTTTCCGTGTTTGTTTATTGGCTTTAAGGGGCGAGAAGAAAGACTATGTAATGATAAAAAATAGTTGAACAAAAACTATATATACAAAGTTAAGCGCTTAAATAAAATTCTCAAGATTACGAATTTAGAAAGATCGAATGTATAATGAAGCTGTCGACTTTCCTTACGATCGGTCGCTCAGTATCCGCGCGCTAAAAACCTTTTCCTTCTCCCAATTTCATTATTTATATCTGGACACAAACCTGTTAACGTTATTCACATTCTCCCGGTGAAGTACTATTGCGCCTGTAATCATAAAAAGTTGTAAATTTGTTTATAGACAACACATCCACGCATATGTAAGCTATATGTATGTAGCTTGAAAAGGCGAAACTAGAAGATGTGTAAGTGACTCGAAAGAATAGAATAAAGACTAATGCAAACGAGAATGATTAAATAGAAGGAAGAATTTGCATTGTGGGACAAAAGTGCTAACGATAAATAAATATATATATATATATATATATATATATATATATATATATATAAATATAAATATTATAAATACATAAACAATCTCGTCGTCTATTTTTGCGTAACCAAAGTTCTTTATAGAGTAAACATTTCATTGAACTACCGTAGGACGTTTGTACGTCAATGCGCAGATTAAAATAAGAGAAGAAAAAAGCGAAAAAAAGAAGCTGGTAAAGAAAAGACAAAGATTATTAACGATTACCTATATCAACTGTAAACGCCGGTTGTAAATGAATTTATTGTCTCGGTGATGTTATTAATAATATACGATTATCTATTATTAATAATATTATCCGTTATTATATTATAATTATTATCTCTATTCATATTATTATCCGCGTCATCTGTATCATTCGCATCATCACAAGCTACAATGAATACTATTGATTTTGTCATGATCATTATCATTATCATTATCATCATCTTTATTATTATTATTATTATTATTATTATTATTATTATTATTATTATTATTGATACATTTATTATTGTAATTATTATTATTAATATTATTAAAAACTTACTGTTCATTTTTATTATCTGGCATTAAAAATGTCGTAAAATGTTACTCACCTAAGGTCTGCTCTTTCGGATTTAATAATGGAAGACGAAAACATAAATAGTGCATTGAATCGTTTAAACGATGGCTAGCGATGCAAAAAATTCTACTGTAATTTTACAAAGGATAAGAAAAAATCGTATTGTCGTGTAAAGTACAGAGGTCAGAAAATCGATAACATTGGCGTTAAACATAGTTCTTTTTTCTTCATTGTGTACTGTTATTTAACCTGTCGATTGATTTAAAGAAGTGGGAAAAGAAAAAAAACCGCAAATACAGCACATTGTTTCACACTAAAAATTTATTTCTATGTTTTTAATAATACCTTTCACTCGCTCCCTCTGTCCATTGTAAAATTTATGTTTAAATTTATGTAAAATTTAAATTTACGACATAATTCTATGATTCTATGATTATGTTATATTGTTATAGAAAGTATTACGTTTTAAATACAAATACAATAATCATACATACAATTCATATTTTTAAATATAAAATCTTCTGATTAAATATTGTACTTTTTATCAATTGTAAAATGTAAAATATATTGTTACAGATGCTAGTTGTTCATTTGAAAAATTTTAATATTCTTTAAATACAAAGAACATTTTGAAATAATATAATTAATAATTTTTGTTTACAATTTATTGTTTAATTATTGATAAAGAAATGCATATTTGAAAGAATATTTTTCATAGTTTTATAATTGATTAAGCTCGTTAATTTTATTTCATGCAATATTAGTTTACTCGATTTGTGTAATAACAATATACGTGATTATTTAATTTTATAGATAATATAAGATTATCCTCAATTTATAGTAAAATACGTATTGAAATTTACAAAAAGAATGGGTTACATATTTTTCATAACGTTTTAAATAAAAATAAATATTCTTTATTGAATTGTAATAAGAACTTCGACTTGTTTATTAATAGCATAGATTTTATTAAGATGCGCGTAACAAAATTTTACGTTATTAAAAATGTCTAGAATTAAATAAGTCACCGGTCGCATATAAAGTAGTTAGTTGAACAAGTACATAATATTTCAATGATGTAAGCATTTTTATTTCTTATGAAAAAATATTTAAGTTCTAATTCTAGTTATAAACAATTATTAAACTCATTTTCCGTATTATTCCAGGTAATTACTAATATATTATTAATTACCTTTATAATAATTGGGCTAACAATGCAAAAAGACGAACTGCAATAAAGAAATCATAGTGAATATTAATTATAAAAACATTTGAATTTGTTCAGAATTTGTTAAATAAACTCATCGATTAAATTTTGATTATTATTAGAATCTTTTCAGACTTATTTATTATGCTACATTTGCACACACACACACACACACACACACACGCACACGCACACACACACACACACACTAAAGTTGTAGTATATTAAATATTTAGTTTCCTTCAAAATAAGTATATGAAAACCAATTAATTCATCACATGAAAAATACAATTATTAACTTCAGTGATATGACATAACAACGACAAAAGCAACACGCATAGTAATAATAATAATTGTTATAAAGAAAGATAATCACTTTATCAGCAGGTGCTATTTAATGAAATATATTTATTTGTCAATTTCGCCTTGTGACTGGTCAAAGCAACGAAAAGTGATTAAAGTTTCGCAATCAATGAAAGTTCCCAATGGTCTCTAAATTGCCACGGCAGTATGACAAAAGATCCACACTCCGATTTTCAATCGAGAATTAGCATTGGCGATTTGAGTCGCGGATTGTTAACTTGCAGCCCAATCGTGCACATGCATCATCACCGTCCTCAATTCTTATATATCGTGTCCATTCCGCTCGTCCGGAGGCATCGCAAAATATTCATCAGATGCTGATCCACGGGAGGATGGCTTCCGAATACGAATTAGCCCCAGGGTATA